GAGGCTGTAAGTGTACAGTCCTAAGAATAATTCATGGATCAAGGATTAGTGTTCCCAAACCCATCAGTGTATTTCAAGGCACCTAGCCAATTAATCTGCAGACATTTGCAGTATCAGTCACTGTCATAACTTTTCTACGCCACTGCCTTAAGAAAAACCAGCTGTATTGCCACACAGCGTAGGGTGCATGGCATTCAACTGCCTGGATGTCTTCCACTTTGAAGCATGAATCAGTTCAGGCAATGAAACAATATAAAAATATCCCACTCTCGATTGGAGATTTTTCTTATCCAAGGATCAAAGACACGATGGTTGTAATTGATCAACTCTTGAATCTAGCAATGACCGAACAAAGTGGTAAAGAAGTATACACACAGTCAACTCCAAATTTATTGGGATAAAGACTGTTTTAGGGGAAATTCGTTTACTTCTTTTTCATGGGCCAAATCTTTTCAATCAAGTAGAAGTGGAGGCCAGGCTGGTTGCGCCATAAATATGGGATCTTTTTTCTTTAAATATTTTGAGATCCAAAATTGACAATCTAATAAGTATTCCATTATTCATAATATTGTTATTTAAAAAAAATGTAATTCATGGCATTAATTATTAAAGAGAAAAAAATAATATTTGCATACCAATTTTTTTTTTTTTTTTTTTTTTTTTTTTTTTTTTTTTTTTATGTAATCGTAAAGATATTAATAGTCAATCGAGGTTAAAATATCAATTCACGTTATTTATTGAATTTTTTTTTCAAACTAACGACTAGAGTTTCATTTTTTGTTTCAATTTAAACACGATGTCTTGCGTGCTAACAAGATTGATGATGGATTCCAAAAAAACTGGTTAACTTAATTAGTGTCGTTTAACACCAACTTAACAAATTGCTTTTTAGATGCTGTCTTTCAAATATTCAAAATTTGATTTGTGGAAGTGAATTTATGATCGTACCGTTATATTTTGTATTCATTCATAAAAGTGCGTGTAAATTAGGGATGGCAGTTGGGAGGGGACCATGTTTCCCTTGGACTTATTTATTTTTTTCATATAATTTTTTTATTTTTAAAATTTTATATAAATTTTCAAATGTAATAAATAACAAATAAGGTTTGGGGTGGGACTATATTTCCCATCCTCTCTCCTATTTCTTAACAGGACGGGATGACAACTAGTGGGATGCAAAAGCAACCTCTTGATACAACACATCAAGTACTGATAGTTGGCAGTGGTGATCCATTTACATAAAAGTCCTTAGGGTAAGAATAGTTATCAATTATAATTGCTGAACAAAAAAAGTATAATGCCCCCTTTGATTACACTATATTTTCCATGGAAGTTGGAATTCGAATTCGAACTTTCACTTTTGACCTGTTTGATTAACAAAATTTTTCAGAGAATTGATTTTTCATGATTTTCAATGTACAAGCCGGTAAAGTATGAAATTCCACCTTTTATTTTCCCATGGGGTAGGTGATTTTTGGAATTCCACCTTTTTTTTTTCTTTTTTTTTTTTTAATTGTTCGCAATGTAAACAAATTTTAGAAACAATTGTAAAAGAGAATAATCCTTAAATTGATAATTTTCATGTAAAACAAAGCCAAACGAACAGCAAAATATAGATTATTTTTGGATTTTTTTATTTATTTATTTTTGTTGGCAATGGAAACAAATTCTAGAAACAATAGTAGAAGTGAATATTCCTTAAATTGACAATTTTCATGAAAAACAAAGTCAAACGAACACCAAAAGACACTTTTATTTCAACATTTTCCATCTAGAAAATTATACTAATCAAACACTATCAATTGACAATTCCCAATAAAATAATTTTTAGGCAACTCAATTCTCTGAGATTTATTTTTTTTCCACCCAAATTCCATATTTGCAATCAAACATACCCTAAGATATTGAGAAATTAAATGGAATAAATAATATAGTGAGTCACTTCAACTAAAAATCTTTTAAGGTAAATTCACATATGCCAAAGATTGAATGAGGAATATCGTGTTGTTGTGATAGAAAAATTAATTAT